CTACAGGTGCACAGTCCGATCCCAGAGTGGGTTAACACCCTCCCCAGCAACCCTACAGGCGCACAGCGGGTGCCTCACCGCACCCCGACCCCCCCCACCACCACCACCACGTTCCCCCAGGGTGTGCCAGCTCCTACCTGTGCGGGACTTGGTGAGGATCTCCTGCAGACGCTCCTGCAGTTTGTCTGCTCGTCTGCGTTCCAGCTGCAGTTGCTTCTTCAGGTCCTTGAGCTGCGGGAAGACAACGCTGGGAGCCATCAGCCCGTCCCTGGGTACCAGAAATACCCGCGCCCCACCCCCCCTCCCCCAAGAGGAAACCCGGAGACTGGCCAGAGCCAGCCCTGTGTGGGCCTGGATGTCATGTGTAGGCCCAGACCGGGTAAGGACAGCAGTTTCCTTCCCTAAAGGGCAATGGGTGAACCTGATGGAATTTCCCCGACAGTCGGCAATTATTTCGCGGTCACCTCGTTTTCCCGGATTGTAACCAAATTCTAACTCCACCTCCTGCTGTGGTGGCATGGTTCCCACCCGCAACATTAACTGCCTCCCTTTCCGGGAACTCCCTCTGGGACTGAGCCGGCAGGTTTACTGTCCTCTCGGGACGCGGGGAGTGGCCGGGAAAGATGGCGCTGAGGTGGACTGCCAAAGGTACAGGCGGGAAAGCGAGCCGGGCTGGCCTGCTCGAGGGGTTACCGAGGCCCTTCGGCCCAACTCGCCCATTCCCACCGGGGCTGAACCAGTGCAGTTTCCCTCCGCACCCTTCCTAATCCGTGTAGCTGTTCACCACCACCCCCCCACCGACCCCGAGAGAGCCGTTTTTGAGGGGGTCTCCGAAGGATGAAGGCAGGGCAGCGAAGGGTTTACTGGCCAGATCCCTGGGACTGACAAAGGAAGAGGGGCCCACGGGGCTATATCCACTGGAGTTTTTAAGAAGGATGAGGTGAAAGGCTTCTGAAACCTGTAAAATTCTAACCAGACTAGACTAGGGTTTGGGAGGAGGGGGTTGGGACTAGACAGTGGATAAATGCAGGACGGATGTTCACAATGACTGGGGGAGGGAGGGGGGGGGGGCGGGGAGGACCAGAACCAGGGGGTCATGGTCTAAAGGAGACAGCAGTAGGACTGAGATGGGGAGAAATGTCTTCACCTGGAGAGTGCAGGGAGCCCTGTGGGATTCTCCGCCCACAGGAAGCGGTCAGGGCCATAACCCTGCGTGTTTTCACAACGGAGTTAGATATGGTGCTCAGGGGCTAAAGGGATCAGAGAGGCATAGAGACGTACAGCACGGAAACAGGCCCTTCGGCCCAACTCGACTGTGCTGACCAGAAATCCTAAATTAATCCAGTCCCATTTGTCAGCATTTGGCCCATATCCCTCTAAACCCTTCCTATCCATGTCCCCATCCAGATGCCTTTTAAATGTTGTCATTGTACCAGCCTCCACCACTTCCTCTGGCAGCTCGTTCCACTCACGCATCACCCTCTGCGTGAAAAAGCTGCCCCCCAGGTCCCTTTCCCCCTCTCCCCTTAAACCTATGCCCCTCTAGTTTTGGACTCCCCTCACCCCAGGACCTTGGCTAATCACCCTATCCATGCCCCTCATGAATTTACAAACCTCTATAAGGTCACCCCCTCAGCCCCCGACGCTCCGGGGAAAATAGCCCCCAGCCTGTCCCTGTAGCTCAAACCCTCCAACCCCGGCAACGTCCTTGTCAATCTTTTCACAACATCTTTCAACAGAAGGGATAGGGGGAGAAAGCAGGGAGCATCAGATTCCAGAATGTCCTTCAGGGTAAGAAATCTGCCATCCCTTACCAGGTCTGGCCGAGACAGGACTCCAGACCCACAGCAGACCCTGTCCTCAAAGGCTGAACACCCACACCCGCAAATTCTTTTGTTCAGGGACTGGACTGTGGGCCTCACTGTCAGGGCCCTGCATTTATCACCCTTCCCTAATTGCCCTTTGAAAAGGTGGGGGTGACATAATGCAGTCCCCCACGGTGTAGGGACACCCCACACAGCGTCCGCCGTTAGGGAGGGAATTCCAGGATTCTGACCCCGGTGACACTGAAGGAATGGCCCACGTTGTTCCCAGTCAGGATGGTGTGGGGGGCGGGGAGAGTCTCTGAGGTGTAACCCCCCCGCATCTGCTGCCCCTTGTCCTTCCGGGGTGGGGGGGGGGGGGGAGGGGGGGCGGGTTTGGGAGGAATCGTCGTCGGAGCCTCAGCAAATCGCCGCGGTGCGTCGGTGTTGGAGCTCAGCCGAGCATTCCTAATGAGCCCAGCTGCCGCTGTGTATCGGTGGTGGAGCGAGCGAGTGTTGAAGGTGGCGGATTAGCGCGTCCATCGAGCTGGGGGTGGGGAGGAAGAGGGGGCTGCTTTGCCCTGGACGGTATCGAGCTTCTCGAGCGTTGTCAGAGCCATACCCGTTCAGGGCAAGTGCGGGGTGTTCCCATCATGCCCCAGATCTTGGCCAATGTACAACAAACACTGGCCTTGTCATTGACCCCATGAAAACAATCCAAAGGAAGAAGCAACCAAAACCAAACAAAACCACCCCACAAAACCCTGCATGCACAGCAAGATCCCAATTAGCAGGCAATCCCCGAACCATGGGGAAAGCTCTTTCTCGCAAGGTGCCTCCCTCAGAGACTGCAGACAAAGGTCAAACTCACCGCAGAGCTGCCCTTCTTCTCCAAGATCCTCTGTCCGTCCACTGTGTCTTTGATCTCCTGTTCGGAGGCAATGAAAGAAGATGC